CTGAAGGAAAACAGCTTGTCATTTTGGGAATTTCCAATATCTTACCGCCACTTCCTCTCTCTCTTTTTCAGTGAAAGGGTGTTTACGTTTAACCTTCTTACCATCGTCACTCACAACCTTTCAGGCATGTAGGGAAAAGGAAAAAGAATAAATATCACTTTAAAAAGCAAAATGCAGAGAATGCTGTAAATTAGATTTTTTTCAGTTCAAAAAGAATAAACTAAAGAAATAATCACCAGCTTTGAAGAGGACCGAAGTGCCTGGGCTAGCAACTGGTTGTTAGTGATGAGGGACTTGATTTTCTTCATAGAAGCAATAAAAGATATGGACACTATAGCAGAATCAATATTTATCAGTGAAAACTCTTTTAAATTAAAATACAAAAACAATTGCTGGAGTCTTAGGTTCAATTTAACCATACTCTTCAATGGTCCTTACCATAACCTTCAGGATCTTTACTTATTTGCTTTGACAAAGATTCATTCGCTAGAAGACTCATGTCATTGAACTGGTATTCCACCTGTTTTATACACAGTATTGGGATCATACTATTTTCACAGTGTGAATAGAGAAAAAACTTATTTGAGATTCACACAAGAAAAACGGAAAACAAAACTTCCATCAGTTCCAATAGTGAACATTTTGATGATAGCAACAAGAGTTTTTTGTTATGAGGAAGAGTTCCTCTTTGATAAATTAAAGAACAAATTCAAGAAATTGTCCACTTGTAGAACCAGACATGTACAAATGATTTGAATCTTTATTAAATCCGGAAAACAGGAAAGTCAAACAAGCAGATGAACTTTGAACACAATCTAAAACTGACAAAGAGTCAAGAAAATAAGCACTAATCGGTTATGCACTTTTGCCCATTATCTCCCTGTTCTACCAGAACCAAATTTGCCAATCTAAATAAACATTTCATTTCTCTAGCTTGCAATTTCAAATAATGTCAGTCAGATCATATCAAGAAAGAGAAAGATGCAAAAGAATCAAAACCGATGGCATGCATCGAATGCATCGATCCATTTATTGATACAAGAAATAGGACAATGGCAAATCCTATTCTAAGAAGCAAATCAAGAAATCAACTAACATAACAAAGAAAGAGAAGAGAACCTGTCTGATGATCTTTTGGCGTAGATCATCTGTAAGCAAATTCTTGGAAGAACAATTGGGGATTGGAAGATTAGGATTAGAGATCAAATAAGCAGCAGGTTCTTGGTCACCAACAAAGAACCAATCAGACCCACCAGCACCACCAAGATAGTGGAAACAAGGGTAATAATAACCCGATAAGGGCATCTGGGTATGAGATCTAGGCACGAATTCTGGTGCCTGCGCATTGAATTGGAACGTCACACTGTTGCTACTGCTGCTGCCATTGCTACTGCCACTATTACAACTAGTCGTTCTTTTCGCTGCCATGGCATCTTTCGTTTGAAACTTTTCTTGGGGTTCTTCTTTAGGCTTTTCCTCAGGTTGTGCCTGTGCCATATTCGTGTTTCTTTTGATCTTTTGTTCTTTGGGTGTTTTTTTTTTCTCTTACAAATTTACCGTCTCTCTGTCTCTGCCTGTCTTGGTTTGATTTTGTTAATGTCTTTGAAACTTCGATTTGATCATTCTCTCTCTCTCTCTCATTCTCTCTCTCTCCTGAAGTTTAGTAACTGTAAGTTTGATATTGAATCCACGTTTGGCGCCCAAATACGGAGAGGGAGAGAGAGGATTTCTTACACATGACCGTTGCTTTTGGGTTTGACCGGTTTTTTAAGGTTTGGAATTTGCCACAATCAACACCAACCTTGCTTTTCTCTCTGTGTTTTTCCCTTTGCCAATCCAGCCCCTCAAGCTCCGTGTCTTGTGTGGGCGTTGTAGCTATTTGCAGAGGAGGATTCGCACTTGTTTACATTATTACATTACTTCTCATTAACTAAAATTACTACATTTTTATTCAATACTTTTAGAATTATTACATTAATAATTAATTATTGTCCTTTCCTTCCAGATTAGGATATAATTTGGAAGACACACTGTGCGCGTGTGGATTTGGAAAAGAGTCGGCAAAATGGGCTCCAGACTAGGTTAATCCAGGGAACCCAACTAAGCCTACTAGATGGCAATTGGGTTCAACACGTAGGGCCTTAAGACAGTCAATGCCTCTTCCCAAATTTTGGGGTCAATTTCTAGCTTTGGGCCTAACTTGCCAGGGAAGAGATTCTGAAAAAAGAAAGGAAATTTAAGTAGTGTTTCCATCATTCTCTTTTAAGTAAAATAAACTTGATTATCACTTTCCTGCACAATGATCTCAAGTTGGATTCCATATGCTAGTAGGGGTCTAGCCTTAACTCATGGAATTCTGTTTATGATTTGTGTTGCATGCTCAATTAATTTGTGACATGACTGATCTTTTAAATAAATATTACTACTACTGTTTGGAAAGTTAATTTGGGTTTTCAGTGATTGATACCTAACAACCTACCAACCCATATAGGCATGCAATCACAAGCTCCAACCTCTGTACTTGATGTTTGGGCGCGCTGGGAACAATCACAAATTTTCTATTGTTTGTGGTTTAGGAAATCAGCAAAATAAAAAAAAAATAGTGTCACTAGAGGACAACTTGGCTTAATAAAAGGCTTTAGTTTACCATAATATGCTTTGGATTACATTGATGATTGAACTCATGTTGCTTGCCCTGGCATAGACAAGGTTAAATATTCTAAATATTGATGATTACAGAGCAGTGCAAAAGTAATATTACTTTGTGATTTGTGAACAAAGATCTCCTAGCTGGATAGAATTTTGAAGAAAGCTTAAGTTCTGTTCTAGTGTGTTACTGGGTTGGCCTTTTCCACCAAATTCTTTCCTTTCCTTTCCTTTTAAAACTTTCATGATTATGCTATACCCATCTTAGGGATCATGATCCTCCATGGCTGGTCTTTGAAGGAATCTTTGATAGGAATGGTTTTCCTTTGGTGGACCAAGCGCAGCTTGCCCATGTGAGGGAGCCAATGTGCTTAGCTGCTGCATCTATTCTGTTCACTATCTCCTTACTCTTAAAGGAAAATATAATACTTTGGGTTGGATTTCAGAATGTAATCAGTTAACCCTAAAAAATATATATATATATATTAATTAACCCTATCCAGAAAGAAAATTTAATGAGAGCTTCCATCATTTTCACCCACTTGTTTCACCAAACCAATTTATGCAATATATATATACATATATATATATATATATATAAATTTTTACATGATAAAGGTGGACCTCTCACTGTGGGCTCCTTCATTATGTCTTGTCCACAAGATTCTCTCTATTATTTTGCTTGTGAGAGTGACTGTTTTGTCATGCTCCCAGATAAACATTACAACTGATTGTGTTTTTGAAGTGGGAAATGACTGGATTAGGTGAAAGGATAAAATCTGGGTGTTTTCGAACAATTTGACTAATTAAGATGTTGTTTGCAGACCACATAATTGCATCAGCTGCTTCAAAAACTATCTGAAATGATAGGCTGATCATGCCTTTTTAATCATACATGTATATCTGATGATGCATGCATATTACTGAAAACAGAAAGAAATAGCTTATTGTGTTGGACACTTGATGGAAGAAATGGCCATACATGGAAGAGAAAGGCCAGAAAATGGTTTTTGTTTGTAGCAGTCAAAACCCAATTATTGATTAAACAGCTATAATTAATCCAGTAGTTATCACATGAATTAGGATACTTGGAAGTTTTGGTATTGAATTCTAGACCAACAACTCCTCCATGAATATAGTTTCCATCACTACTTTGCATTGATCAGATAAGTAACCTGCAAATTAGGCCTAGGGTCATAATCGTTTTTGGTCAGGGTTTCTTGTTTGCCAAACAGTCCATCAATTGGGAATGGTAGACTGAGAAATTTGGTGAGCTAAATCTGGAAAGAATTTGCCAACTGTTTGTTTGTCACTCATATCTTTTCAGCTGTCATTAAAGAAAAGAAACTGCATCTTAGAATAATTGAGATTGTACATAATCCATAAGACAAATAAGGGAATAAGCACCCTAAAATCTTTTTTCCAAGATAAGTCTGGATACTCTGCTGTCTTCTTGTACGACCAAAACACTTTCACCCGTCAATCTAAACATTAAAAATTTGGAAATTAGTAAGGTCATCCAAATGTTGATGCCCATCCTTGTCAGTACCAAACTGACCTTGAAAGGACTGAACAATTGCCAAAACACCACTATAACCTATTCGGAACAAATCCAAGTATCTATAGGGAAGACCTGGTGAATCCCATGTGCCCCAGGGCTAAACACAGTGACCTACCAGATGGGGCAGTAGAAAAATGTGCGGTCAAGTCGATTCCTTGTTGGACCTTTAAAGGCTGATGTTCGCTTTGCTTAGTCTTCGAGGCCATTTCAAGGACTCGTACGCCGTATGAGAAAAAGGATTTGAGATTCTTTCCACGGGAAAAGTGGAGGGCAAGCATGTAAACAGAAGAATTAGCACAAGAAAGTTCTTTGTGAAAGCTGAAACCGATTGACCAACCAAATGGAATATCTCCGATTGACTGCTCAACTGCCCCGGATTAGGCAAATACGAGCGACTAACTACGTCAATTTTTTATTTTCTGGCTTCTCCATCGTGACTGTTTAACAAGATGAAAGCATTTACCAAGCTTCATCATTATCCTCAAGAAACTTTTGTGAGAGCACTCTCTCAACAGGTCTCAGTGAAAAACGATGAATGAATTGCCTTTGGATTGAGTTGGATAGGGGAGCATGTCAGGTTACTTGCAATTAAACTGCAGAAATACCTATCCAAAGGAAGCCATTTTAACGACAATTTCTTGGGGATTGTGGCATTTCTAAAACCTCAAAATAGTAGACAGCACTAGCAAACATAGGTTCAATCTAATGGAGACGCTATAGCTTTATGGTAAGGGAACAGCGCTCACGTTGCTTCCACGGAAAACATGGATCATAATTGGAATTCTTGTGCTAGTTCCGGAATAAAACAAAACTCAGTTCAAGATAGAAGGAAAGCTAATCCTGCAAAATTTAACAGCCTCTCTCATTTCTCAAGATCCTTCTCCTTTTATGGATTATATAGTAATAGTATATAATTTTTTATAGTCATGAACTCCTCCCATGTATACTTTTATCTGCAAAATTCATGGTGGATAAACTCTATACATCATCTTTTCCGGGTTTGTGAATATGGCTTTTCCAGCTATAGCCCTCAGACTTTGCATCTTCATCATCTTCCATACTGTCACCTCCTGTAGTGGAGGTCCCTCCAGTATTTGTGGCTAATTGCAGAGGACCTTGAGGAGAACCGGACTGAGAACTGCTCCCCTTTGAGGATTCTCCATACTGATCTTGGGACATCCACAGACCACTCCCCAAAACAACGACTGATTGATTAGCGGGGGTGGTTGTGGAAGGTGGAAGTCTTCTTGTGTGAAGTCTATATTTCTGGAGAGTCAGGAAAATTCTTCCATCAATATTCATCATCAAAACTTAAGAGAAAAAGCCAAGGATAAATAAAAACTTTAAAACCCAGGGAAATAGTAACACACAAGACATTTCTCTCTTTTCACGCCTTTCCAGAGATCGAACTACCAAGAAAGAAGAGGAACTAAGAACCCACCTGCAAATGACTCTTAACTTCATCATTGGTCAAACCATCTACTTGCATAAGTTCCCTAATCTGCTTTGGGGTGGCCACTGCAAAAGAAATAAAAACTGTGACTTAGAAACTTGAAACGAAAAGAATCAAAGAGTATATTGCCATCAAAATCAACACTCCAATCCCATGATCCCAACAGAAAAATGAATGCTACACAATTTCCAGTTTCTTATAGCTTTTATTCTCCAGGGTCTCAAACCAAATGAATTATACATACATAATTCAAACGCCTATCTCTTAGCCAGATTAAAAAAAATATTGTTCAACTGTAGTTTGTACTTTCCATCTCTGAAAAAAATCAGATAAGTGATAAAAGGAACAGAATCTTGCTACAAAGAGGTGCTGTTCTTGCAAGTCCAATCCTCTCATTGACCGAACTTCTTAATTCTTATCTAGGATAACTAGAGCAATAAAGAATCCAACTCAAGACAACAACAAAAATTAAATTGTCAACAGCTAAGTACATTTCTAATTGACGTTCATTTCCTCACCTTGAGAGCCTCCTAACTGCTGCAAGGCATTGACAAACCGGCGATGCAACTCAGGTGACCAGCACCTCCTTTGCTTCCTAGCAGTCTGCTGTTGTTGCTGTTGCTGCTGGTGGTGATGGGCCAGCGGCTGTGGTCCAGACCGAAAATTCGAGTGAGCATTGGGGGCAGAAGATGAAACTGCTCTGCTACAACTTGTCCTGGATCCTGTAGAACCTGATTCCTCTTTCAGATTCTTCATTCCAGGAGTCAAAAGCGTTAGTCCGTGAACTGGTATCTCCTCTTTTTCTTCTTTCCTCACCGCAAAACCCAAATTTGCCTTGAATGGCATAAATGCCCTCGCTGCTCCCCTGTTTTTACATCCTTGGAATGGATCTTCATCGTTTCTCTGTTGTAAACCAAGGAAACAATATTCAATCTTTAGCAAATTTATTTCATTACAAACTACGTCTTTAGCTTAAATGTGGTGTCCTTCATCTTTTTTTTTTTATTTAATCTTGAAGTACCTTAGTGTCTAGTTTGTGATCAGTGGAGCGATAATCATCATCATCAGTGTTCCAAAGCTGAACGGAACTCATCCAATTTTTCTTGTCTTTATTAATATTGTAGTTGTTGTTGTTAGGATCTTTATCCTTTTTGGCGGTAATTGACGCATCATCTTCTTCACTGTGTTTATTTTCCTTCTTGTCGTTCTTCAACGGAATAAATTCTTCTAAAATTGGTGCAACATTTCTTGTTACACATTGCATTGACTCCTCTTTCAAAGCTACAATCGCTGCAACCAAACAAAACAAATTCAAAATTGCATTAAATACATTAATTGCAATCTCAAAACAACCAAAACCCAAGTTAAATAACTAACTCCTTGAACCAAAACGATCAAAAAACCAAAAACCAAGTTACAGAAATGAACGTTTTCTGATCAAAAAAGAAAAATCTTGATCAAGAACTGGGATTTTTTTTCCCTAGAAAAATCAAAAGGGAACCCTCATTAATAAGAAAAAATAAAAGTGAGATTTAAATTGATTGAAGAAACGAACCATCATTCAGAAGGAGCATGCAAAGAGGAAGTTCACGTTTAAAAGCATCGATCTTTCTCATTTCTTCTTCCAATCCTTTGACAAAAGCATCGACTTTTGAAACCTTGTCAGAAACGTTTCCGACCATTGAAACCTCCTTGAGGAAATTACTGATCGTTTTGGGTACAAAAGTTGGTCTCAAATCCAAGCTCAGTTCTGGTGGAACCGAACCCATTTTCGATCCCTTCTTTGTTTCTCACAATACTTCTCCTTTCTCTGTTTCTTCCTCCCTTTCCTTCCTTTGGCCTTTTTGTTTGTCTTCTGGGTCTGTTGAAGCTAAGAAAATAGGGAGGTGGAATGAGGGAGGAAGGCAAATGGTGAGATCTATGGATGAATATATAGAGAGGGTAAAGAGATTTATTTATTTACAAATAATAATGTGTAGAGTGAGAGAGAAGTGTTTGTTGTTTGGAAAGAGAGAAAATGAAAAAAAAAAAAAAGTTAAATTTGGTTTCTTGGATTGGAGAGGAAAAAAAAACAAAGGAAATGTTGGAAGGCGAAGATTCTGTTTGCGGCTTTTGGGTTTTAAAGTCACTTTCGCATCGTCGCGTATTCTATCCATCGCTCGCCCATCCGTCCGAGTTCACTCACCCTTTTATCCCTAACACAGTAATTTTTTTGTTCATTTTTGAAATAAAATTGGTAATTTTGTATGTCTTTCCCTAATAATTGGATAATTTCCTTAATAAATGCACTTAGGGATAATTTAACAAGATAAGTAGGCTTAAGACTTTAAGGTCCAACATTTTAACTATGATAACCTGAACTCACCGGCTTTTGTATTTGTAATTTTTTATATGTTAATATTAACATTCAAATCACTTACATGATATATATGTTATAACGAGATTGGGACAGTACTATTACTTACATATTTCACGAGGTCAATCGAGGAGTCGATTGTATGGCAACAAATCATGAAGACTTCGAGATAGGCTTATATATTTTTGATGTTTCACCTTTAATATTTTCTCTATTGTATTAATAGATAAATTAGACAAATCATGACCTAAAAGAGTAAAAGTTAATGTTTTATTTAATTTAATTTCTTTTTTATAAAAAAATTCCAATTACTCTTTTTCATTTTAAAGTAAATATTTATTTTATTTTAACAATGAAATATTAACCCAATGATCGGCATATGTGAATTGAATTGGAATCTCTGTATCGTACACATAGTACCATAACTTTTATACTTATACCACACTTGGCCTGCCTTTTTCCTGTTAAAAATTCCCTGCTCTCAATTATTATTATTTATACATTTAGCTGAAAATGAAAGGCTCCCATATTTAAAAAAAAAAAAAAACAGAATTTCCCCAAGTCATTATTAATGTAATTACCAGTACTTTGCTAAGTCATTAACCTTTCTCTCTCATTCAATTAATGTTTAAGCATCGTACCACCATTAACATTCATTATTCAACTGCTTCCTAATTGAATATACATACAACACAAATCCCTTTTACTGGCATTTGGAAAATGACATGGTAAGACTTTTATCGAAACTTTTCTTTGCTTTTTCCATGGATGGGTACTTGATCATTCAATCAAAACATTTTTTTTCTCTCTTTCAAAGAATCAATGGGTATTGAAATATTCTCCCACCAAAATCACAGTAATTTCAACATGAGAACTATTCCAATTTGAACTCTAAACCCTTCTTAATAAATTAATAATATATGTAAAATAGTAATTATTTTTATGAAATTATTGATATCATTCTGTTGACGTAGCAATGATGACATCTTCTCTCATATATATATATATATGAATTATTTTTTTAAACGACTAATTGTGAATTTCATTCAAAGAGAGGGAAAGAAAGTTTCCCTAAGAAAAGAACAAACAGCCACCTAAACAACCCAGAAATATTAGACAGTATGCCCCTCTTAATGGGGTAGACCCTCCAATATCCCTTGGCATCACCATAGTCCCAGCATGCCGACAATTCAACCGCAAGAACAAAAACAATCTATCATTAATTAATTATATTTGGTGTGTTATTTACTCCATAGATTTTATATATCATTAATTAATCAAATGTTATGATATCGTTAATAAATAAATTTAAAAATTGAGAATTATAAAAAATAAATATTCATAATTTTAAAAGTATTTATTTTACAAATTTAGTTAAACATTTACGTATTTATGATATCATATAAATAAATGATAATGTATAAGTTATAATTCTTTTAATCTCAAGAAAGTGGAAATGTGAACTAATTAGTGATGAAGTGTTTCAACCGACGTTATGGACTCCACAAAGCGGATTGGATCTTGACCAGCTACTGGGGAAAAAAAAGGGGTTTAAGCATCTTGGATTATAGGTTATTAAAACATATGGGTTTGGTCAAATTGACTTAACCACGAGGAAATATTTTAAGTGAAACAAGGGATTGCAGTCAAGTGAAATAATCAATTGTACCAAGAAAGCGTATAATCAAATCCCAACTTTGGATGAGAGAAGGGTCAAAGACTCAAGAACCATCTGGTTTTCGTGGAAGAAAAGAAAGGCCAGCCAATCTGGAATTTTTTGGAGTGTGCCTAGTCTATGAACATAGATATTCCAACACGTGTATATTATTTTAATTTTACCACCAACAATTAAATGAGATAAAAATAACAAAAAAAGGGTTTATTCACCGTTGCTGAGATTCTCTTTTGTTGTTTCAAAAGGGGATCCCCCGCTTTCAGACGGCTCAGCAAAGTTCTGGATTAGTTCAATGGGTGGATTAGAAAATTGTTGAATCCAAAACCAAATTTACGGTCAGCTTTTTTTTTTCCCTTCGAAGGTCCACGCAGCCACACACAAAGGCATCTTTGGGTTTTAGCATCAGCAAGCCAGTTATTGCCACAACAAAGACGGAAAAAGAACCTAAACTACCTAAAGAGAATTCCTTTTTTGTGCCTTTATTTAGGGAGTGATCATTAGTTTGTTTTTGGCTTGTTTCGATTTTTGTCCAGTCTCAGGAGGATGTCCAGGGGATCTGAATTTATGGAGCGGTCTTTTTAAAGTCTGTAGGGATTGGGTTTTCTTATGACGGATTGTTTGATGCAGGATGATAGATTTTGGGTGTTTCTGGTGACTAGTTCCTTGGTTTTTGATGGGGCAGAAGTCTAATTGAACAGGTCAAGCCCTGGGAATTGAGGGGTATACCAGCTTGTTGGGGGCATAATCTCAAATATCAGTGAATCTGTTCTTTTGGTGTTATGGCCTGTATCATTTATGGGGAAACATTCATTCCCTGACTTTGAATGCAATCTCCTTTTATGGCTTTAAAAAAAAAAAAAAAGAGAATTCCTTTTCCAGCTTATTAAACTGTTATAAAATGGTTTTAAAGTATATGAAGAATTGGTCTCTAAAGTGTTGGCAACTCATATCTAATCCAACATGCATAGCTTCTACAAAATTTAAAGAGTTCCATACGGTCTTAAGTGATGCTGGATGCTTGTTTCCTCGAATAAATTAATATTCTCTCCTGGCTTTTGTTTTGTTTTTTTTTTTTCTCACCATTGTCAAAAGAATTTGTTGAGAAATGAGATTAAAATTTTCAACTTGGATTATGATTGCCTCGAAAAGTTATGTTTGAACGAGAATCTAATCTGCTTTTCTATCCTTTAGCCTTTTGGTGAATAAGGCATCTGTCACTCGTTCAATAAGAATTATCACACTTTCACAATATAAAAGGGAAATACCTTCTGTTGAAGTAGACGAGATTCAAACCTTTGTGAGGAAACCATTGTCTTGAAAAGAGGTCAAGTCTCAAATTTCAAATGATTTTGTTTAATAACTATAAGTATAATTCTTCTATTTTCATTACTACTTTGATGATATAGGTTAATCGTATGCATATATAGAGATATTTTACATAAAATCAAATTATTAAATTCGGAAAATATAAACTTATTTTTTTAAAAAAGTTTTATACAAAAAATTAAAAATTATTTAAATTTAAAAATTTCACATTGAAATTCCAAAATGAGACCGAAAGGGTGAAATCCAAAATTATATTTATAATATATAGTAGAAAAAAGCTATGAGACGAATCAACAAGCTAATGATGGTATAACACATTTGGCGGTAAATGTAGAAATGCCAAAAGCTGAAAACGTAGTCGAAAAGGACACCACACAGCCCATGATTGGACCGTGTCGGACACGTCCCATGGGAGAGAAGTGAATAATTATCTAAAGGAAAAAAAAAAAACACCGCAAACCCGAAAAACGGGCTGCGTTTGAAACTTAGAGATAGGGAATCTTAGAGATGTGTGGGACCCAACTTCGATATGGCCTGAGATCTCAGTAGTTGTAAGGAAGAAGAAAGATGCTCCCTTTTTTTAAATTATTTTTTGGCCAGCCCCGCAAAAAGGACAAGCTTTTCCAGCCGTTAGATTCCATTCCTCGTCCATAGAATTAAGAATCTCTCTCTCCCTCCACCAAATTCTTTCTTTCGCATTTAATTAATTAATTATTCTCCCCTCTGTTTACAGTTTTGTTTTGTTTTTTTTTATTAAATACAAGTAGATGCATCTTTCACTTCTTTTGGGTGTTCCATATTTTTCAATTCTATCTGAAACGTGTAGTTTGGATTGGATCCACTCCGGTTTCTCGCATCTCCATCGGTTCTGTCGGATGCTTGTAACCAAGGAATCTATTTGTCTCTGCTCCTTTAACTCACCCATATTGCCCTTTGCTTTTTCATTTACAGTTTTTTTTAATATGTACAGATAATGATTTACTAGTAACAACCAACTCCTTAGAAAGGAGTTTAAATAATAAATCTTTACATAATTAAATTAAATAAAATATTATAGATTTTAAATAATAAAATATAAAAAGAGTTTTGAATTTTTTTTATGTAATAGATTTTTTTTAAAATTAAAAATATGAGTCAAAAGAGTGAGGCGGTGACAAAAGATTATTTACATAATAAATAATCACCCCAATTCTATTATATATAGATAGTTGATTATTATTTTAATGAGAGGATGAGATGACAAATTTCATTAAGTAAAAATATTAGTGAGAGAATGTATTATTTTTTAAATTACATTTGAAAACATATACTTCAATTTTAAAAAAAAACAATGAGTTTTTTTTATATAAATTTTATTATTTTTTAATATCTCATGACTTTTAAAAAACCTTTTTAATCGATTTTGAATTTGATTCAAAATCATCATAAGAAGAAAAAGAAAACCAAACGCTCAAAGGTTTTTAATTACTTGAGATGTGGTGTAAAAGAATTTGTCGCGGCACATGGTTCCATTTTCTCAGACCTTCCAGACTTGATTATGGCGTTATGTGTATGTATTTGTTGTTTGAGATCATGATTAGATTAAAGATGGAAGCAGAATCAAATCCAGAAGCAGCACCACGTTTTGCTCCTTGCTATTATACCTCCTCGGAAGCACCCTTACAACAGTAACTATATATACCATGCAACTCTGGTTATCAGTTTGGTTTCACCGTCGAA